TGAATAAATATGAATTTGTATTAACTTAATAAGAACGTTTAAAAATGTTGTCAGTGCATCGTTACATAAAATCGAATCCTGAAGTCATGCTAGCCATTTTAGCAAAAAAGAAAAAGAAAAGAAAGACGGGCTCTTATATTATGAATATTAATAATTTAATTTAATTGTTTACTTTATTGTCTTTGAAATCCATTATCAAACCATTTACCTCATTAAAATTTATAATAGGTAATAAAAAAGTGGCTAAGTGGATAACGATCTGCTCTACATTAGGTGCCTAGAGACTTGGGAGTCATTGTAATGAATGTGTTAAATTTGAATTCAATAGTTACAGTAGGTTGAATTCATATTTTTGAAAAAAAAATTACAGTTGAAAATGTTATTGTGTTTATAAAATACAATGAAATGCTCTAAAAGTTTAATATATCCACGAATAATATTCTTAAATTACAACAAAATAATAAAAAAATGTATTCTTGGTGTGAGCATATAATTTCATTCAAATTTGAACTAAAAAAATGTCTGTAAAAAATAAATTTGTTCGTATATTTTTTAGATTTTTTCGCCACAGTATGAGCTTTTTATGAAAATCGTTGTTCTAAATTTTCAAACTTAGGCTATAAAAATTGAACATTTTATAGTTTTTAACTACAAAATAATAATAAAATTGTCGAGATTTTGATAAATATTATCGAAAATTAAACTTTAAATACTTAAAAAAAAATTATGCTTATAAATCTTTAATATTTCTCAATTTTTATTATAACTTCTTACCAAGAACCTTGTATTAAATTTTCAAGATTTGTAATCACCCTACAAATACAATTTTATTGACATGGATAGAATAAAAACTATGAATATTTTAAATTTCAAATTTCTATAAATACTCAAGACGAGTCGAAATATCTTGAGAACGTTTCATGATGTACAGACAATTATAAGATTAATTTTTGATGAAAATTTCAATTATCTACGGTTATTAGTTTTTGAATAACGACGACATAAAAAAATCGTTGTCTGAGAATTTGTTAATTTACGGTCGAATATCCAATGTCTAAATTTAAGCGCTCGTAAACCATTAATTTGATTTTTCGGTAAACTTTTTTACCTTGGCAAATGTAATAAAACTTAAGGGGAGTCTTGTATTCAATTTTCAAAGCTTAGATATAAATTTAAACATTTTTATGAATTTTTGACTAGAAATGATTTGCCAAATTTGATTTTTATGAATGTATTCTCAATTGTCGAACTTTAGACTAGCACGAACAATTATTGTGCATTTATGCTCTACTCTTTTTGAAATTTCCACTAACAATAACTTATCACGATGTTTGTATTACATTTTCAAGTTTTTTGACCGAACAAAAAATTTTCCAAAATGTACTTATTGGCAATAATTTTAAAAACTATTATAACTCGAAATTTTCTTATGCCTTTAATTATGTTGAAAAGAGTCGTTATTACTGGCTAATTACAGTTTATTACATTTCATGAACATTCACATTTATCGCCAGTTATTCGCCCCCTACGCTTTGTGAGTATAGCGTTACTTATACTATAAATTCGGAAGGTTTTATTCGGAAGCACTGCTTGGTAACGTAGTGTTAAGTTCTATAAACACTTTTTTAATATTAGGTGTGTTTTCTAAAACCAGTAAATTCTTTATAGGTTAAGTTTTTTATTAAAAAGCTTGGTACTTAATTGTCAATGGAAATGTTGAAATTTGAACGAATTTTTGACCAAGAAAATAATGAACATGTTTCATCATCTTCATGCTCATTAGAATTTTCATCGCTATTCTTGTTATATGATTCAAAACCTCCAGGCTTCGATTTTTTTTAAATAGCTTCTTTGAGGCAGCTAACTCTTTAATAATACCACTTTTATCCACAATGTTTTAAAATATGGATGAGGTAAAGCAGCAACAATCAAAAACTTCTGTATTAGTTTTTTTCTAAAGCATGTTTCCATGCTTGTTTTGATAATATTAATTAATGTTACACAATAATCTAACAGTGAAACTATCTTACAGACTAGATATTATTATGTTTATTATAATATGGATTTTAGAATATTTAGGTAAAAATATTATATAAATTATAAAGGTACCAGTGTACTACCTATATATATTGTAATTTTTAATTATACCTATTAGGTAGTAACAAGTCGGTAGTATAATTACCTAAATTACCTAATTATCAGTTCTTTATTTCTTATGCAATTTGTACAATCATTATATCTAAAGACTAAGGACAGGAGACACACAGGAACCAGGACATTCATAAAAATTAATTACGTATAAAAAATATGAATTCGGAATTAGCCATAAAGTAAGATTAATATATTAAAGGCAATATTTGCAAGATACTTCGAATGTGTACACTATTCAACTCACAACTACATATTATTTTAATTCCTTTATAAAGCATATTATATTCCACGGAAGAATTAGTTCGTTAATCTCTTTGTTATCCATACTTAATAAATTAATTAATTCTTTTAGTCTTTCGTACTTTTATTTCTTTATATTCGCGTCAAGATAACATTAATGTATACAACTATCTAGTGACCACGATTTAAGATAATATGGTTGCTCAACGAATCATGAAAAAGAGTTTGCCGAAATCACTGTTAAAAACAGCTGGAAAACCCAACACTATGGCTTGTATGTAATAGTGGCGATAAGTTCAAATATCGCGGTGGCGGCTGGCGCATTGTACATTTTGCTTCTATATTTCGCCACACATCATATTCTCGCAAGCGCTAGTAATGCATAGTCCAGTTGTTCTAGTCATTTAATTTGGTTGTAACTTTAAAGCGATCTTATCATAGGTCATCGGGCAACCATACTATCGTGCTAGACAGTGACTAGTGAGTAATGAGACTAATGAGTCACAATAGGCAACTATACAAGTGTGTTTGTCGGGACTCGGGGTGTTGTCATGTCGAGTCCCGTGCCACAAATTATGATGCTATGAATAGCCAAATAGATATACCGCATACGGGAAATATTATTTTTCCCGTAATATGTTTAAATTGTTTTTAAAAAACAAATGTAATAATCGTACGTCATAGTTGCAGTCGCCTCGTACCCTCGTCGACATTTCTGGGGGAAAAAATAGTCCAAAAACCAAATTAAAAATCTTGTTCAAAAGAATTTTGTATTTAATATTTTTAAACACAAAATATAATAATAAGTATTTAAATATTTAACAAGTATGGTTGTAAGATGTAATGTGATATTAAATACCGTCGCAATGAAGGATTACAAATCATGATTGATCCACTTGTGTTTACAACCTTATCGTGATTTGAAAATAATAGTGTGCGATTTGTAAGCCCAAACTAAATTACATTTTGGTTTCGAAATTCTGTCTTTCCTAACTTATTTATGGTAGGTACCTAAACATAATTTATTTTATGGAAATTTCAAGCAATCATTACAAGTAGTGTATTTCAACTTCTTAACGAGTACACGCTATAATGCTATATGTAATGACATACATAATTCATTAAACCGACATTCATATTATGTCATTTATATTATTTAAATTAACTGTACTTATTTAAATTAAAATGGATCATAAGATCCAAGTTTAAGACATTTGATAATACAAACATTAAAAGTAATAGAATACAAATACTTTATAATATACAAATGATTTTATTCAAATAACTACTAAAAGATTTAGTGGGAGTTTAGTTGAATAATATATTTTTTGTTTTCTTAATAATGGTTTTAAAACAACAGGATTAGTTAGTTTTTATAGTTCCTAATTACAAATCCTAATACCTTAGATGATTTGCTGATTATATGTAATAAGTGTTAATTAAATGAAAAAGTATTAATGAAGACTTATTGATATGGCAAGATTGCAGAAGTGTAACCCAAGACCTAAACGATTTTATTAGGTACATTTTTCAATATTTAACGGTGATTCAAACATAATACACAAATAAAAAGAATATTCTGATAAATTAATGATAATGATACATATTTAGCTTCATTTAATAGATGAAATAATTTCAAATCACCAGCACAAAGGTTCCTCATGTAAAAAAGTAGATCATAATACATGAGAAAAACAATAAAGGAGCCCAATGTGAATCGTAGGGTACACCAGACGAGACATGCAATGGATCTGATTTGAAATTTTAATTTTACAATTTTTGTTCTGTTTGATATGTAAAACAAAATCCATGATAGTACTATCAACGAATACCATGTTATGTAGCTTAGATATATGTCTAGTGTGATTTACTTTATCAAAAGGTTTAGAAAAGTTGGTGGAAAAGAATCTAATATGTATTTGGGAAACGAATTGATTTGTAGCCGTTCTTACCCTGCCAGGCTATACACATACTGACATTGAAAGTAATGTTATAATATTTTTATAAATGATTGATTGAAACATTTTAGATATTATAGATAGTGAACAAACAAACGGGGCGATCATTTGTTATACTTCACCGTTCACAGAGAACGCAATCGTGCGCGGTTACCAAATCTCGTCTATTTCTACGCATCCCCACCACTATATTAGCCCGACCTCCATATCTGGTAGAATTCTATACCAGACGTTGCTTGGTTGGATAATTTGACCACGAGGCGTTAACTGGTTTACTTAGATATTGGATAATAGACTACGATAGAGCTAGGAGTTGTCTCAGTTGACGGAGTATTACTTCACCAAATAAGCATAAAAACCCTGTCTCCCTAAAGAGATGGAAAAGGACTAGTTGATAAAGATAGATTAAATGAATTTAACAGTGGAATAGTTTATACAAATATTTAATTTAAAAAGAAAATGGTCGGAATCATTTTTGAGCCTGGCTAGATTAATAAGTAATTTTATAAATTCATCAAATATGGGAAAATAGATACAATTATGAAGGTATATTTAATTTTCTTTTTTATTTAAAGTAACATTTTAACAAATACAATTTGCTTCATAACATTTTAACTTAGACCGATTCTAAAATACATTCTTTCATTGCAGTTGATGTTGGTTCAAGTCATGTGCAAACTAAAAATGGTTTCAGCTGCTCTATTTTTCAAACGATTATTGTCAACTAACACCTTGAATTCGCCGTCTCCGATTCACGAGTGCTTTCATTAAAGCGTTACAGTAATTCTAAACTGTAAATCTTTGTATGAACTCGTGCTTTGCAATAAAGTTTGCATTTACACCACCTAAATGTTTTAAGTGAGTTAGTATTTAGTTTATCGAATATCTGTAAAAAGACATTGATTACGATTATAACAATCATTATAGTATAGTAATATTCATAAATAATAATAATTATATCTTCTTATACTAGCGCCATGCATTAGTTCTATAGCAACTGCTGATAAGGCGATTAAGTTTGCCAGTCACAAAAAAATAAATTATCCCTACTTGTCGTTAGGCTATCGTTAACCTAACCAGTATATCTAAAATCATGCACTAAGCCTATTTATAACCTTTTTTAGATTAGATTTGGTAAAAGTAAGTATGTGGTTACTGATTTTGGTTAACCCAAATTGTTGGTATGAAGGCGGATTTTATCAATTTTAACAACGCCAGATAATCTCTAATATCGTGATAAAATTATATTATGTTATATTATTACTATATTTCTATAAAATAATTGAGCTAGTATTATTTTGACGTCTCGCGTCGGGCCCAAATAGTCTAAATGACCTATATTGAAAATTAATGTAGAACGTCAGCAACATTTAAGGCTAAATGCTTTTAGACGAATATGTATCTATAGAAACATTCTCAAAGCTTTTTTTATTTTATTAGTTTAATCTTGGGGGCTCAACATTTAAGTCCTATTGGTACACACATAGTAATAACTAGTAGACCTCATTGGGATGTTGATATCTAAGTAATTAAATTCAGAAGAATTATATAATTTATTTTGCCTAGACCCCAAAAGCTAGCACTGTCTCTAGAGTGCCAACTTAACAGCAAGGCTAAGAAAAATATATAAATTAACTTAATACAGCTTGGGAGCGTAACTTAAGTTTTCTTATATACATTTAAACGTATACATGATTGGAAAAACACATTCACAGGTTTATCATTAATATCAATCCAACAAAGAATAGGATATATAATTAATTTTAAAAAACTCATCTGACATTTCTTTGATAAAGCGAAGAAAATACAAATTTTAATATTACATTTAAATCACTTTAATTTCCTTTTTAATTATATGAATATCTTAAAGCGAAGAGAATAGCTATGTAATGTTACATAATATAATGTGTCATATAGTGAAATTTTATTTAAACTGTAACTATTTTTATAACTAATTTTGAATTTAACATATACAACTATATAATTAACTCAATAGGTAGTGTGTATTATTTATTTCGTTCGGTACTAAAAATAAACCACACGTGTTTTTAATTTTTAACAAGCTAATGAATAATTCTACCAGATAATCACATATTTGTATCATTTTTGTACATAAACAAAAGAGACAACTGTATGCTAAGTCTTAAATTTAAATAAGAGTAACCTCAGTCGGTGACTAATTTTCTTCACATGATTCGGTCATATCACACACATCAGTTAAACCAGTTCTCGACGTCTGTTTTAATGTGTTAATCACTTAATCTAACAAAATGCGAGGTAGGTGATTGTTAGAACAATACATTGAAGTAACCGATAGTGAGGCACTTTACGCATGTTAGCCACACCCATTACCTTCGAAGAGTACAAAAGCATGCCGCAAGGGTTACTCTACCTTTTTTTATACATAGCAATAGATTATTGATTTCTTAGGTTTCTGTTATGTTCTTGATATTTTTGCACAAAATTGGTATTAATAAAAATTGTTGGCACATTTTTGTCTACATAACTTAATAATTTCTCAACTTTTGGTTATTATTATTTTTTTACGGTTTTAACATGTATATTGTTTTAACCATCGTTTGTAATTTATGTATTATTCCAAATTATTTCATTCAAGTCTTTCAGTCATTTTAACGTTCAGTTAATCTTACTGTGAGTTCTTATCTTCATCATCACTCCACGTTATCTTGGCACAACTACTATATTAATCATATCAGTTGTATTTATTTGGAGACTTAAACGCTAGGCTTCGAGGATATTAAGTCTTAGTTTGCCCCTGTTTGCTGATATTAGAAGCAACCATCTCTACAGTTAAGACTATCGTTGTGTCTATTGAAGTGTACTGTATCATAATTCATATTCCCAAATCAAACATTGCCCCATTGCATAAGACTTACAGGCAGGGTTTAAAGTGGGAAAAAATTTCAGAGGGGACTAATGTATCCATATAGATTTAATCGTTCCATACATCATTTTATGTAAAACGTCTAATGTATAAAATCCTAATTTGTTAAAGGGGACGCTCTTTAACCGCTGTTAGTGTTAGGGGGACTGAGTCCTCCTGCGCCCCCCCCACTTTAAACCCTGCTTACAGGAGTAAATATTATATTCTTTATCTCTGTATACATTGTACATTATACTTATTTACGTTATGTATTTGTAACTTGCAAGAGATAAATAAAAAAATAAAAAATTCGAAACACACAATAATTCTTGTTTAGTTATTCCCTACTGATCATACAAATGATGAAGAAACAAGCCTCTCATCCGGATAAAACACCGTTATTCAAATTCTAGCTTAAGTCACTTATTGTGGTATATAATAAACTTTTAATTTTTGTGATGTTGGGCTCAAGCTTGTAGTTATTATAAATTATATACAATTCAAAAATAATAAAATTTTGTTTTTCATTGTATCCATTTATGAATTATTTATGGTTTTTATTACGTTGATGAATATATATATATATATGCTATTATTTAAGTGGTGAATTGTGGCTTAGGTAAGAACTATATGTTATAACTATACAATCTACGAATTCTCAATTCATTCTATATCAATATCCAGATAATGTAATTGAGTAAGTATCAACTCGATTCATGACTACCGTTAAATAAAATAACATATACATTATAATCATTATTAATTACCTACTCGAGTATTATTTAGTAACAAAAAAATTGTCCCATTAAAGGTCAGGGAAGCATAATCATATTTTAAAATAAAAATAAACTTGTGTTTAATTAAGAACATATTAGCTGTAATACTATTTCTTATAGTATATTCATTATGGAATTGATGGTTAACTATTTTTATTTTTGCAGTTTTGGTTAATTTATACAAAATGAAGATTCAAAAATCAGACGCCATGATTCGGACAAGTTTACTGACTGTACAAATGATAATTATCGCTCTCAATCTGGTATTGATTGTGGTAGTGATCAACAAGAGAAAATGCAAGGTATTGTTAAACATATCACTGTCATTAACTAAACATCTATATTTTCATGTTCATTCCCGTATGATAATCACAAATGGCCTATCCACTCTATAATATCTATTTGTCAACTTTTGATAATGTTATGTAAAATAAAAGAACGCTGTGTAGCCGCTATTTAAAATATTAAAATATTTTAATTTCTTGACTGACGAATATAAATTAATGATGGATTATGGTTACGAAAAATGCTGCCACCCGGAGTTATGGTACCTCCTCGTCTCCTTAAATACGTCCCTATCCACACATAATGGTCACCGTTTGGTATATGGAAATTTGGTCTCGAGAAGGTGGAACTCCGTAACATAAAGAGGAATCTTAAGTTCCTACAAGAGAATAGGAAGTATAAATTATATACGTTAATACTACATGTCTACATATGAGATGTGTAAGTTCCTACGCGTTAGAAAAATATTTTTATTGCCATTTATATTTCATTATCATACATTTTTTAATTCAATATACCTTATTAATTTAATATTTTATATAATATTATAATTTGAAAATGTTATAATACAATGTACTCTTGATCATCCATTTTGCGGATTATCGGTTGTCGGAATCATCTACATACATATATGTATACGAAAAATATATATTTATCTTCACATTATACATCATTATCGGTTTAATTGGTGTGTGATAGCCGATTACTCGATAACAGTAAATTACAATAAACGCTGCTGTTCAAAAAACTTCAATCACAAGTTAAAAAGAAGTGTTTTAAAAAAAAAAAAAAAGTACCTAACTGATTTTTTCAATTAAATAATTTTTGAATAAAAATATCGATTTCCAATTTATGTTTTATTATATAAGATGTAAAATATTTTCGTAATATCCTCGGAATTTGCTGGATGTTCTGCCACCCTATTACACGGATAATCGAGAAGTACACTGTACATTCATCATTTCCATGCATTTAAATATAATATTTCATAGTTGTAAAAAAATGGTGGGCATGTGGGTACCACTGTTGTACAGTAGTTATCGAACATGTCATTGTAATGAATGTATTATATTTTATTTCAAAGATGGAAAACGATTCTGTGGACTTGATCATTTGGTAATCAAATTTAAAAGTTAAAAAAAAAATTAATTAAAATGAAACACATCTTATGGCTATAATTTCGCGGAGCTAGAGGAATGAGATTCAGGGAGCAATAATTTTGTTCGAGATCTTATCAAATAATAATAATTATAAAAATTGTTAATTTTACAGACGATTTCATTGAGTATGTGGACGTTATTGGTAACTATGATAGTCGGTTCCATCATATTGGATATTGAAGTAAGTTATAAAAATACGTATATCAACATTTAAACATACACAACTAATCAAAACAATAATATTCAATTATATGTACTTACATTAAAGTTATTAATAAAACAGCCAATAGTAATATTTGTTTTCTATTCGTTGCTGGGAGACGGCATAAGGGTATATGTGAGGTAGGACATCCAACGACTTAGGAACATACATGCTACTCGGACAGAAGCATTTGCTCTCGTTATCTATTTTTAAAAATGATCTCCACTTAGAGATGGCAACGCTAGGTATATATTGATGAATCGATGTATCGATTTATTCAGGAAAATATCGATATTTGATCTTCAATAATATGGGAAAATTGATATATTTAGATCAATGATACCGGCATATCGGTATTTAAAAAAAAAATATTTATTTATATTAGCATATTGATTTCGAATTATCGATCTAAAATGTATTTTATACACAGAGTCGTACTTGTAATATATTTATATAATTTAAAAATGATATTGTTTCAGTTCAGATATATTTTACTGCCATTTTAGGTTCTGAGCGCAGCAGTAGTGGTCAAACAGTTGTATGGATGGATGGATCCCCCTTGACCTATTTTCAATATTTACATGATATTAGCTACAGTCCTTACATCCGTTAAAATATTTAATAAAACAAAAATCTATGAGGAACCATATACTACATTTTTAAATCTTAGAATTTCGAATTTACCTTGTATTTTATAGTTAAACTATTTTTCCTTCCATGATTTCCATGAAAGTTTAACATAAATATCTGTAGTTAAAACATCTATATTCACAAAAGGTTTTTTTGGGGTGGGGTAGGAAAGGACCTCGAATCAATCAGAAGTGTTTACATTAGGTTATATTCATATTAGCTCTATCACGAGGGAACAAGTTGCAATCTTTCGTCCTGAATTTAATTTCCACTCCACCCACGAACACAGTAGATTTTAAAATAAAACAAATTATGGTGAATCTCATTAATGCATTAGACCATATGTTTAATTTGTTACTGAAGTAGAATTCTAGTCATATATTTACAAGTAGATTCGCACTGCTTGCTTAAGTATTGAAATCCTTCATATACTAAACTAATTTTACAGAAGAATATACTTATACATCATCACATTGATATTTCATTTTTTATAAAGTATCTTGTGATAGTATAGTTTAAACAAACAATATAAGGATAATTTTGTCTACCATGGATTAGTTACATATTAACAACTTAACTGTTTATTACTGTTATTGTGTGTCCTAAAGAAGCTCTTACTAGATCTTATTGGATTATGCCTTTGTTGAAAAACCACAGCTACACCTAATAACTCAATTATAAACTTAATTAAAAGCAGTGGCTAGCCGTTTTCGAGGAGGGATAAGCCCCCCTCCTAATATTAGAATGTCAGTCGGAAATTGTAAAGACTACACCCCTAGAGATTTTTAAAGATTATCCCTATAAAGCATTAACTTATGTGTTTTCTCGTTTTTAGGTTCTCCTTCAGTACTTTACACCAACATTACCATTATGCCTTTTAACGCCATGGCTCCGGGAATTGGGGTTTGTGATATTCTACGGCGCGATCGATCTTAAACTGTATAGGTAATTGTACGGTATCAATTAATTTATTCAGTTTTACTGATATTTACATATCCATAGGATTCTGATGCAATTTCGTACTAGAAAAGCTCACTGTTGGACGATTACTGACAAAGATCTGCTGAAATATTTATTGTTCGGTGTTATTGTGGTCACTGTTTACCTCACAGCCTGGACCGCAGTTAGCCTGAACTTCTTTCACGAAGGATGGATCCTCTTGATCCACATTGAATCTGAAGATGGCTCATTGTACACCACGTGCAAACCTCAGTGGTGGAATCACGTTACAGAATTCGGTAATTAACTTAAGTATAATATATTATTTTATACTAGGTAAGTATTTAAAATAATTTTAATTATTGATCTGAAACAAACTGTGGCTGCATAGGCCATTAGTCAAATACAGTTTTGTTTTTCTTAGAACTTATAATACGATACTTATTTTAGAATGTTGGAACTTAAAATTGTATTTTGTTTGGTTGAATGACCATTTAGTGTCATATTGGTGGGGAACTCAATATTATTTTGTAAAATGTGGGATAACACGCTCTTCCGTCTTTTATTGCATTAAGACGTGTACTGACTGACTAATCTCATGCCATGTGATTTTAAGTGTGCTAACATTAATTATCATCGCATAAATTATCAACAAGTATATAATTTAAAAAAATTAATTTTTCCAATAAAAAAGTATAAAGTAACATAGTAGTTCTTCAGTCAGTCGTTGCCAAGAAGAGTAAATAAACTATAGTGGCTGTGATGTGTAAAAGAAGAAAAATGATATATTTTGAGCTTATTAAATCAGTTAACATAAGATGGAATTGAGAGAACCTTATGGAACGTTACTTCAAGAAGTATATGATGAACTAGACCAGTGTTAAGACTGGATAAGTAAAAAATGATCTAGATATAGATAAACGATACTTGCTCTAGGATTATCTAGATTAAGATAAGATAAAAAAAATGATGTTCCTGGTTGATCTAAAATAGATAAATAGTAGATAAAGTTATTGTATATTATATTAGTGAGGTAAATCATTTAGAAATTATAAACTACCGTGTATCGCACAACAGTATTTACCTTGTTCGACATCATCATCATATGATTAAATTTGTTCTTCTCTATTATAACGTGACAAAGGCAGCGATTCCAAACTAGCTGTTGAACAGAAAAGAAAGTTTTATATAAATAATTTATAGTAATAAAAAAAAATTATGTATTATAATTACCTGAATTATCATCATCAAAACACAAATTATCAAGAAACTCATCATCTGACTCCTCGTTAGCTAATATATTATCTAATTCATTCAAAATATCAATGTCTGACAACATATTTTCAAATTTTTTTCTTTCAGAAAACGAAAAAAAACACTCGTTGAAATCGTATTTATGACGAAATTTTACAAATGAAAACATTATCGCAGGCTAAATAATGATATTATATATTTTATAAATAACCTTCTATATAAAAAAATACAACTAATATTATATTAATAATATTAAAACCAGTAATAAATTATAAACGCAAGTAATGCAACAGCGTAATCAAAAATCTGATTTCAAATAATAAATATTTCGGTTTATCATTAATTAATGCTAGTTTGGGAACCCCGGAAAATTAAAAATTTTATTTTGCTTGTAACTTCTTTGATAATTGTCGGATTTTTATTTTTATTATCTCTTCGGATTTGTCTAATCATTTACCAAATGTCCGTGTTATCGAATCAATGAAAACAGCTATTGCTGATTTTTAAAATGAAAAGAAGCATATGTGCGTCCATAGCACCACGGAGTTGCTTATATTGGACACATATATGCGTCCATAGCAGTGAAAGGGTAGGTTAATAACTAACCTAACTATGGGAATTTTTGTATTTTTTTTAATTCATTATCTTTTATGTATTATTATTATATTTAAGCGATCAATAGATTGAATTTTTTTAAATGAATTGTATTATATGTATAATATAAACCTAACCTATTTTAATAACTGTAACAGAATTATAGTTCAAATGAGACTATGATTAAAATCAAAATAATTTTCGCTGGAAAACGTGTTCACTACCTAAGTTAGTTAAAACATGAGAACTAATTATGAAAAAGATTTTTTGACTTACAGGTGAACTATTGATTTTAACTGTGGGCTTATATTATGGAAATTCGGCACGTAATGCCCGCGTGCAGTTTGAAGAACGGCGTTTTCTCTTTTACGCAATCACAGCGGAATTAACGTTTAGTAGTATCCATAATGCAATCCGTGCAGTCTATCCAATACCATTCCACCAGGATGTGACATTCATAGCTGCCTTTTTACGCAGTCTGTTGACGAACACTCTTGCGTTATTCATCATATTTGCACCAAAGGTATGTTCTAAGTATACAAATATATTTTACATATTATATATTTCATATAAATATTTAGTTATTATTATTTTTTTTTTTAGTTCAGTTAAGAGAGAATGTAAAAAATGCATTCTTCATTCGTTAAGTAGTTAGTTTTTCGTAAATACCCAGAAATGGAGCACTTTATGAACTTGGAAAACTTTTGGGGATTCTATTTACAATTTAATTAGAAATAATTCAATACATTTTTTTCATGTTAATCACTTAACATTTTTGTAATAAAACCATACTACTAAAACAATAAAATATGTTCCGGATCAAGGTATAGTTAATATTACATTATCCAACATAGAGACGATAACACCTGTCCTAATTATTCGGACAGTGGCAACTCCAAAGGATATATTTATCAAGGATATGTAGTTTGGTTTAACTAATCTTTGTTATTTTGATAAATGAAATTAGTTAAATCAAAAATAGTTGAATGATTTTGTGCGAAATGAGTCAAATCAAGATATGTTCTTATCGTCTGCAGAAAAATCAACATTTTTTCGGGATTATTTACAAAGACCGTACATTTAATCAGTACTTAACTAACATTTAAAGATATTGATTCTTTACTTTTCTGCTTTTAAAAAGAGAGATTTCTTATGTTTAACCTAATGTCCAATGCATAAGCTATAGTTCCTTAAATGATGTACCAACAATCATTAACACATATCAAGATCAGCATAAATCTACTAACAGTGTAAAACGCATATTAAAGGGGCCTTTTTGGTCAAAAAAAAAAGACAAAATTAGTGATATGAATTATAAGCACTGTTAGTATGGAAATGTAATAAATGCTTATTGTTGCCAATTATTATTACAGTCACATGGTATAATCTTGTTATTATTTGTTATGTGAATATTTTTTGTCATTAGGTATGGTATCAAAAAAAAGTTAACGCTGAACTCAGACATTCAGCTGTAAATCAAGAACTTTCAGAATCATTAAAAGCTGATATGGCAGATAAGGACTTCAGAGAAATGAACATATCAGAGATGACTTCAGATGAAATAAGGGTGATATTTTTTAATTTGAAAATCATGTGATTGATTAACATTTTAAGTTACAATAATGTATACTAATTTATCCACAATAATGATATTTAAGCACTGGCGTGGTTAGGTTAGGTTAGGTTAGGTTAGGTTTGGCTTAGCACACCAATGTGCCCCGATAAACCGTTTGGGAAACACTGTGCTAGAGTGTAAGAAATTTTAATATTCGTATGGATGTAAATGGGAATTTAATTCAAATTGTTGAAATTTTCAATTTTGTTTTGAAAAAATAGGCTATAATAATATGATTTATCTATAATGTATAAACTTAAGTATATTTATTAACTCATGAATACATACACTTATAAGAAAATAATGTAACATGATTATTTTTGATATTCATAAATAATATAATTGGAGATTACATATTAAATCAATTTTATTCAAACAATAGCTAAAAATAAAAGTAAAACAGTTCCACATGTACATTGTTTTAAGCATACTGACTGATGTCAGCGCCCTTTCCGAGGCTCCGTTTCCCATACTACGTGACAGTTATATTTCAATAATATTCTTCTTGAAAATTTGTTACTTTTGAAATATTTTATTGTACATATGTAAGTACACAGTCGAGGAATATTTTCGATTTTTCTGGCTGAGCGCACCCCAGTGAGCGAATGGCAACACTAGCAGATTACATGCTTCGTGTGCTCTGCGCGGTACTAAAGTACTGTGACATGCATGCGTATACACGTAAAATTGCAAGCATTGGAAGGCTATAACTTCCAAAATAACGGTTGGTTTCCGTATTGAAAAACACGTCTTTCAACAAAAAAATTCAAAATTCGTGAGGGGCGTGGTAAAGTGCAAATATCCGTGTGAAAAATATATGTTTATTTAAATTATAATATAAATATTTGAAATATGTTAAATTATCTCATTTAAAAATAGTCGCTAGGTTAGGTTAGGTCAAGATTTTAGCAAAATTATTAAACATAATTTTATTTCAGGAGGAACTCAGTCGTGTCTATGTACAAATGGGAATATTACGGGATAAAACTGTATGTAAGAAAAACCCTCATATATCTAAACGAAAAGGTGGAAAGAAATTGCCACATAGACGATTTTCATTACAGGTAAATTAACTGAACCAGCTGAAACCAGGAGTGGGAAAATGTATTGTTTCGTTGAATAAAATAAAAACATAATGTTTTTTTTCTATGTTCTCGGAACGGTTGTAGAAGAAAGGAAGCAGAGACAAGGTATGAAACTTGTATGAAATATTGGAGTGCGATTCTTAGGATCAATTTTTTCACATTTGAGTCTCTGTAATAATAAATTTAATTTGTTTTTCAGTCATCCATTAAAATTCGAAAAAAGAATAAAGAACTAGATTCATCTGAAATAAGTGAAACAAATGAGACAAATGAAATCTCCAAATCTCCCGAAGATTCGGTGGTTAGCAATGAAGACGTTCCTACTGTTGGAAGTGGATATGGTATTTGTAGTTGTCATTCAACAACGGGAATACATCAAACTACTTGCAACGAATTTAATGATAGTAATGGTAAGATATATTACACAATGTTAATAAATTTTTATTTATAATTTATTTCGGTTGAGGATTACATTATTAAGGAATAATTATCACAAGATTATTTATATATTTAATAGAGTTAAACTTCTGCTATTGTTATCTAATTTTAAATGTGCAATATATTTTAAAACTTATGGTAGTACTAATCTTAAACATATTATTTAAAACCTACAATTTTAAAGTAGGTATAGGCTATGTAACACTTAATATGCAAGAATGATTACAATTTATTTTTTTGAATAGCCGAATCTTATAAACATAAATTAAATTAAATATCTCTACTGCTGTCTCTCATACAACTAGATTTATCGATATTATTAGCTGATTTTATACCTCATAAACGAACTACTACACCCCGTCGCACGAGAGAAGTGTATAGGGCGGCGACCAAAACTCGTCTTTTTCTACACATTTCCACTATTTTACCAAACAGAGCATCACCGATCATGCGTCATCGTCGACAATAACACTGAGGTGGTTGCTAAGAGTGCGCGATAAACACATCGTGGCACGCCGATTGTTACATAATGCGGACCGAACGGCCGCTGCCGCCAGTCTCCATACTCGAAGTTGTAACCTAACCTAACTTAACCTTCTCTCATGTGGTGGAATATATATCAAAACTCGAGAGAATTCCTACTAAAATCGCTTTATATCTCGTGTATGACAGTAGACAGAAGCTTCTACTTTTGTAGATTAGTTGTAGTGGAATCATGGCTAAATAACTAGGTATAAGCACAACTGTGTGATACGTAGGTGTCATGGCCGATACTGGCAGTGCATATTATCACTCAAGATCCACCAAACCAAATTTCAGGGCACATTAAGATTGATATATAGATGGTTTCTGTGAAGTTTGTACGCTTTGCAAGGTTAGGTTAGGTTCCTGGTTCCGGAGTTAAGACCTCTAAGTGTACACCTGGCGACATGGCCAAAAACAACAACAAAATGTATGAAAAATGAAAAAACGTGCTTTAAAATTTCGTGATTTTAGGCAAACAATGCCCGTAATTCCACTCTCAACACCGGCAGATGTGATCAATGCGTGCATAAAGTCTTCTTTCCTGTGGAGATATGTGCGGAAATTGACGCTAAACATAAACATGCGTGTTTAGTTGCACAATGATCAATCTGCAGATCGGTTTTCGAAGCAATTGTTAGAAATCGGAAATGGCAAAGTTCGAATCGATAACAAACGGTTTAATTAGGTTGCCAAACAATTTGTGTACGATTCTAAAATCAAAAGAAGAATTGATTGAACGAGTGTTTCCGAATATTATCCAGAATTACAGGAATCACAATTGGTTGAGTGAACTCACAATTCTAGCACCAAAAAATGTGCATGTCAATGCTATCAACTATCTCATCCAAGAAAAATTGCCTGGTGCAGTGACATCATAAAAATTTGTTGATAGCGCATTTAATGAATATGATGCAGTCAACCATCCAGTTGAATTTTCGAATTCGTTGGAACCGCCCGGTATGCCGCAGCATTGCTTACATTTGAAGGTCGGATCATCAATTATTTTACTACAGAATGTTGAATGCACCAAAACTGTGCAATGGTTGATTGATGCCGAATTTAATCGAAGCCACAATATTGACTGGCAAAGCGAAGGGAGAAATTGCACTCATCCCAAGTATTCCTCTGATACCGACAGACATGCCATTTGAATTCAAACGATAGCAATTTCCCGTGAGACTATCATTCGCATTGTCCATCAATAAGGCAAAAGAACAAACGCTCCAAGTATGCAGTTTGAATTTAGAGAAGCCGTGTTTTTCGCATGGACAACTATACGTGGCCTGTTCAAGAGTTGGCACTCCAAAATGTTAATTTGTGAAAGCCCCAAATGGACAAACAAAGAATATTGTTTACCCAAATGTGTTGTATTGATAATAAAAAATTTGGAAAAAAATAAATGATTTTCTAGGGAAAATTCTATAATTTTTATTGTATTTTTGTTTTTGTGCTGTGAAGCGCACAAGGGTCGGTTATAAATTATTATAAAACTAACTCTAACTGAACAACCTACGTGCTATTATTTTCGTTTGAAAATCCAAGTCGAGTATTGAAGGAATGTTGCTAGGGGACGGAAAAAATAAAGAAGGCGCATAATAAACATCTGATTTAAGAATTTAATTTAGAGAAAGCAATAACTACACACGAGCGAAGCCGGGTTATTCAGCTAGTTAGTTAACAAAACAATACAAAATTGTTAATTCCGTGGCTAAATAAATCTAAAATTCACTGCCAGCTAAGATTCTTCTCCATGGTAAAACATGCATACAAGATATATAATATATTGCATAATAGTACGTGCTCTGCCCATAACCAAAATGAGTCTCAATGCGATCATACATAGTTATTTAGCCATGGGTGGAATGTAAATAAAGTGATTACTGAAGTCAATTCTAACTTAACAGTTCTTTCCAGAGCCATCTATTGGCTTCTGTATGAATGCCCAAGTTAAATATAAAATAAGAAAAAACTTCTGTACTTTTTTTATTAGAAAATGTCAGTTAATTCTTTGTGAAAAACTGTTTGTAGTAAATGAAACGTGATAGATATTATTTATTATAAGACTAACAAGGGAAATCATTATTAAAAAAATAAAACATATCAATTATATATTTGCACTAAGTGGTCAAGAATAATTTAAAAATAGTACCTACGAGATAACAAGAACCTTAAATAATGGATTTTTCGAGTTCATCTAATATAAAACAATTTCCATTAGTTATATATAGCCATATAGGTACACATTTATTTTGATTCATTCCTTAAGTGAATCAGTTATTTTATTTTACTTTCCAAATTCAAACAATAAGCAAATAAATATGTAATAATTATAATATATGTATTTATGATAATTATTTCAATATTTATTAGACATCAACTATGGCGAAGGAACATCGACTTCAAAGTTCAACGTGTTGACTTAATGTCTTAGCACAGGTAAGAATAAACTTTTTTTTATTTGAATTAAAATCACTTAAGACCAACACCATTCATACATTTTTTTTTTCATAATAATTATCAAGTATTAATATTGTTGGTATAATTATTTTGTGTATTGTTTCAGAGAGACCACAATGTTCATAAAATAAGTTAATATTGGATTTTATGTTACAACTGCTGTTGTATAGATGTGTTAGTATTTTAAACATGTGTTATAGATTAAATAAATTCTTACACTTATTATTGATGCACTTTTGCTAATTTAATTCTGATCGAGACGAACATCACTATTAAAAGACATAATTAAACTTAAATTTAATTTTTAAATTAAAACTGTGTTAAAAATCATAATACGAAAATTGATTATTTTAAGGAAGTCTTACACACATATTGTTTTCTCATTAGTGCGCATTAATATTATAAAATACCAAATTTATATTCTGCAGACGAGCTTAGGTTTCATTATCAAACTTTAACAATATCTGTCGTTTGTTTGAGGTTTTTTCAATGTTAAAATTTTAAGAGAATTTCAAATTCAATTGAAAATAAAAGTACCTAGGTAGTTGAACATTATTTTTACAAATGGAAGCGATGGAGAATAGCATTTACTTTGTGTTACAATTTACAAAACTTTAAATATGTCGTTATTTCCTATTACAGAAATTGATCAGGACATGAATGGATGATTAACGAATGAAATATATATTTACCTATATATACAGCAGCTAGAGCTGAGATTATCTAGATTTTAACTACCTACGTACTTATCATTTATCTTAACTTGATAAATAATGTTTTAGTTGTCTAATGTTAATCTTAGATGAAAACCCATATCTAGATAAATTTTATCTAAAACACAAAACATTTAATATCTGACATTTTGGATTGTTATGAAATATGTAAAACATAACAAAAAAATTCTGAGAGGAGCTTTCTATATATTAATCATAAATGTAATTTGAAGAAAAAACACGAAAATGTATAGATTATATGTAAATGCAATTTTTTCAAATACATCTATATATCGATTTTATTGATAACACCCTTATGTTGATGTTAATTCAATTATAAACAATACCATTGTGTAATGAGAATAAGTTATACATGAAACTTAAAAGTCTTAAACAATAACTACTTTCGTCTTATACGAATTAAAATTAAAAAAGTATGCATACAAAAAAATTAAATTATGATTTTTTAAGGTTTTGAATTATGTTTCCTTGTCCAGTGTAATACTGTAAAATTTATTTTCATTTGATTTTTATGATTTTAAAATATCTTCATTATCTTTGTAAGGCTTGATCCTTGTTCATAGATTTTTTTAAAAGCACTTCATCCCACAGTAGTTTTCTCAAAGTTCATTCGCATATATATGAAATAAATGGTAATTGTTATTTTTTTTCAAAACCTTATCTCTGGTTAAACCTATACGTCATTCCAAATGCAAGTAGGTACTTGATTCTATTTCATTAAATTTTTAAGTTACACAGAATTTTATTCACCAAAAAATTATTTAGGTACAGTTATGTGCAAAATATAAAACAAAATTGTAAATCAACCCGGGTAGAAATATTTAGTTCAGTTAGTGTTAGTTGTTAAATTTTTAATTTTTAATTTTTAACCAGTCCAGGATCAATATTTGAATACGAAATTACGATTACTAATGTGAAGGTAAGACACCAGTGTTTGTATGGTGTCCAGAAATTTTGTGTCTAAATGGTGAAAATAATTTAACAATTTAAGGCGGTCACATTTGAAATGTCCAAACCAGGATTCGAACTAGGCACCCCCATCCTAACCTAATCCTTTAAGTTATAGGTCATAACCTAACCTATATAATCACTTACCTACGGATTTGAATTTAAATTCCGTTACCTATTATGTTATTCAAGCAAATTAAAATACTAACCTAACCATACCTGTATGACGTATCAACGATTTCCCTATAATAATCATTGTTGACTATGAGCGATACAATCAATGGACATTTATTAATTATTAGCAGTGCTCAAAATTATGGAGGGGGTGAGAAGTCTGCTCCTAAACTATTTTTTGAATTTAAATTAGCGTTCCGAATTTGTTCATAATTTTTAAAAGCAACTCGCAGATATTCGGTATTAAATGAACACAAAATATTTTTTTGTTTATACATTGAAATATTAGAAAAAATATTAAAGGACAATTTATATAGTGGACTCTTTTTTGAGAACCAATTATAAAAACGTTTGAATCTTCTACATAACAATCATCTACGAATCGTGGATAACATTTCAGTGACCAAATGTCTAATATTGATAATGAATAGATACATTTTTTTTTGCTTTTCATAAATCGAAATTGTTATTAGTTTGATAACTAATTTTATTTTATTTTGAAAACTAATAGCAAATAGTATTTTATATTAATTCAATTATCTAATAATGAAGAGTGTAAATATGTTATAATTTACATAAATTATAAAATATACCCGGAGTTCATAAAGTATAGTGGGCCTAAGACAATTATGTGGCTCTCACACTTCTACGACGTCCGCCATTCGGGAAAACTACTGAAATTCTGTAAGCCAACAACAATTTTAGCAGTCTAAAAAACCCTGGAAAACCAAAAAATGATGTAAACAGCTATAGACCGATATCTCTATTAAGTGTATGCTACAAATTACTGGAAAGATTGATTTATAACCATTGATTACATTATTTCACATAAATAATTTGGGTTCCGCCCTAATAGGAAATGCTGTGACCAGGTAATGGCACTTAATACCCACACAGAAATTGGGTATTACAGAAACGTTAAACTGCAATGGCATTCATACACCTATCATCGGCCTATGACACTGTCTAGAGAAAAGGGCTTTTATCAAAATTCTTTAAATGTTAATAAAACTCATCAATAATATGCCCAGGCACAGATTTTTACTGTTAATATTGGAAAGAAAAAAAGTAAAACGAAGATGCCAAACAATAGCCTTCCTCGAGGCTTTGTGTTGGCACCTCTTCTTTTTAACCTAAATATCAAGGACCTACCAGTGAAAATTGGAACCTTAAGAAAATTGTTATTTGCTGGTGACATAGTCCTAGTTTGCCGGAGTAAAGATTTCGAAGGCTTAGAAAACACTCTGGAAGTCATTGACATAATACATACATTTTACTATCAATGGAGACTCAAACATAATCAAAAACGAAAATCACCCTCTTCCATCCGAATAACAGAAAAACAAACCAGGAGATATGGTTGCAATTTCAAGAGCAGTTAGTGAAAAACAACCCCTTTCCCAAATACCTTGGTGTGGTATTTGGATTCATCTGGCCAAAATAAGAACCCGTCATAGTATAATTGCCAAATTGAGTGGTACATCATAGGGAACTGATGAAAATACCCTAGATATAAGCACTCTAACACTAGTATGTTTAGTATTTAGTTGTGGAATAATGCCCCCCGATATGGATACATAGTGCACACACCAATACACTTGATAATCGACTCAACTCAGCAATGAGAATCATGGAGGGAACATTAAAATCTACCCCTTAAAAATGGCTCGCAGTAATGAGTAATATAGCTCCTCCAAAGATCCGAAGAGAACAAGCTCTTTTCCGGGAATGAATGAAGATAAACATTAACAAGATCTTTCAGCCATACGTGGATTTAAGATTAAATAGAGATATATTAAGTCTTAAATCCCGCAAACCACCTTGGATAAGTGCAAAGAAGCTATTACTGGAAAATATGGAGGGAAATACCAAATGGCTTGAGGATTGGCCTTTGAGTACCCTGATGGACTGTCTAGATACATTTGGGTGACTCTAAATCGTATCAAAACCGGCCATGGAAGAATTAAATATGTGAAGTATAAACGGAAATTACATACTACTGTGGAAATGATACGCAAACAATCCCCCATTTATCAACTAAATGCCCGATCCGTGAATTTAAAGGCACTCTAAATGATATAAATACAGCTAATAGGGATGAAGTCGTTTGGATACGAAATCTGGACATTCGTTTATAATCTATAGTTTCAAATATATCCCAGCTTTAATAATTGCCATTCGTCTCTCTAGGTTCATTTTTATTTTTACTTTATTTATTTTATGTTATTCCATATAGTCTATCTGTTTGTTAATATTTGCATGTCTAAATTTGTTGCTCTACTTTGCCATACGAAATATATATATAATTTAGATGAAGTAGCTAATACATATTGTGTTTGGGTGATGTTTAAACTAAAAGTAAATGTGAGCACAGTGAAACATCAAAATAACAGACAATTTTTTGAAAATGAGAACATATATGCTTCCATTTGTAATACCCTCCAATTTGAAATAAAAAAGAATATTTCTGGTATTGAATGTTCAAAGGTTTCACTGTATATATAATATTTAAATCTGGCCCCAAATTAATTAAGCACTGTTTCAATATCAATCGACACTTGAACACTATTTACAAAAATGGTCCAGGTTTGTTCACAGAGCACTGTACTAAATATATACCTCAGTGCAAAATTCTACGCAGACACAATTTAACACCATTCGATATTAGAACACCACTAGAACACCACTGGTGAAGTTTTATTGACAGGACACTTTCCAAACACGAAATCATAGTCAAACATTTCTACCCGGGAAAAGTTATTTTTGGACACAATATATTATTATAGTTGTATGGAAATTAAATTTGTTTTGCTCTTTTGTTTCCTCTTAATCTGTATTAATGCGTTCGCAGTGATGTATACCTACGAAATTGATTATATCGAAATATATATACAGTGAAACCTCTGAATAACGGACACTCTCGGTCACCAAAATGTTGTCCGTTATTCAGAGGGAATACATTTTTGAAATGTATTTGTATAATAATGTATTATGTATGTAAATACATATAATGTTATTAGTTATTACTTATTATTTATTGTAAATTACTACATTTTTATATTTTTACAAAATAATTATTAATTATTATTTAAAGTATATTTTTACAATCAAAATCAAAATTATGTACATGTATTTTTAAATTATTTTTGTTTGAAGAAATCGGTGAGCTTTGTCTGTTTGTAATTACACCGTCTCTGTGCAATCTCATTCGCTAATGTTACAGCAGAAATAAAAATAGAATTGCTCTTTACCTCTATTTATGATTAAAGCATCCTGTAAAATTGTTATTTGATATTTTGAAGTTTCTGCTTCTTCAGACTCGTCTTCTTCCTCGTTTTCGGGCTCACCGGGCTCATCAGGATCATCGGTGCCCATTAGATTGGTGTCGTGAGTGGAAATGATTTTGTCTAATTCAAAATATGTTTCTACTTCAACACTGCTGTCGACCAGTGTGATGAGAGCTAAAAGTTCCCCATCTGCTGCGGATTGTTCTCCAGTATCAATTGTTTGTCCTAATTGTTCATCGCCTTGGTGACTGAAACCACATTGCAAGAAGCATTTTTTTACAGTTTCAGACTTTATTTGGGCTTGAGCAGAAGCCACCCAGTACAGCATCTACAACATTTAGCTTTTTAAATTTTTGGATTATGCCCTGGTCAAAAGGTTGGCAGTGAGACGTCATTTTTGGAAAAAAGACTTGCTCGACATTTTGCAGTTTAAGATGGGGATGAGGAGCTGCATTGTCGACAGAAAGTAGTACTTTTCTTTGACTTTTAATCATTTGTTTATCAAATTTTATGAGCCAGTCTGTCATAATCTGTGTCATCATTCAGGCCTTTTTATTCTAACACCAGTCAACGGGAAATTTATTTACGTCTAATTTTTTGAAAGCTCGAGGTCGTTTTTCCTTACCTGTGATGAGAGGACGTTCAAACTCACCTATCATATTACAACACAATAGCACAGTCAACAGTTCTTTTGAAACTTTTCTACCGCGGCGCGTTTCATTCTTAAATGCCATAGTTTTATTGGGTAGAACTCTAAACAAAATCCCAGTCTCGTCTGCATTGAAGATGTCTCGCTTTTCATATTTGTCGATTATGTTTGGCAATTTTTTCTTCCAGTTCTCAATAGCTATTCTATCAACGGCTGAAGCTACCCCACAGATAGATTTAAACGAAATGTCATGCCTTCTTCGAAATTTTTCACGCCACCCGTTTGAAGCTTTAAAGTCATTTAATCCGTGAACTTCATCAAGTTGTTTAGCCTTTTCTGTATTGTTGGTCCGGAAACCGATAAATTTTTTTCCTGAGTCTTGCTAAACCAGACCAAAAGTTCTTTATCAATCACACTGCCTTCACATTTTCTTTATTTCGTTAATTTTGGTTCTTCATTTCCATTTTCAACCCACGCTTTATAAATTTCTTCTGTGTTAGACACAATATTTACGATCTGTGTTTTTTCAACTTGAAACTTTTCTGCGAGTGCACGAATTCCTACTTTTCCGTTGTTTTTACGGTAATCTAAAACTTCAACTTTTTCGCGAAGTGACAACCGCTTTCGTTTTAACGTAGTCATCGCGTCGAAAACCGTCACTTACTGACATACTTTTGTCATAACACATAACCGTTTCACCGATAACCGAATTTGCCGTAATCTTATCGTCCCATAAAGAGTTTGTTATCGTAATTACATTATTATGAGAGTACATACGAATATGAATACATATTATTTTCAGATAATGATTAGGGATTTACCATTATTTTAAAAATTCCCTAGTAAAATAATGTCCGTTATTCGGAAAGTCCGCTATTCGAAGGTTTTCCTATTGAAAAGTAGTAAAAATGTCCCCGTTCCCCCAAAAAAGTCCGCTATTGGGAGGTGTCCGTTAATAGAGGTTTCTCTGTAATTTATGTTCGTTAGTTAATACTTAAGAATTAAAAATAACCGAAAATTATTTTTATATTTAAAACAATTCAAAAAAGATTATGTTTCAACTGTATATGAGATCATATTTACAGTCTAGGATGTAGTATTATGTATATTTTACTAAACTGTTAAAGCAATTATTCCACCATATCTTTTTACAAGCCATTTCAGTAACCTTCAGATAGGTTAGTTAGGTTACGAGATGAAAAGTTTTTAGTTGTTGCATGTGTGATGTATATACGTGTATGAATGCTTTGGATCCAAGAGAGTAGTGCCAAAATGGTACAATTTTTTAACCGAAATAAGCATCTATATGATTCTAATATTAATGTTGTCTTATTATTAAAAATATTGATTTTTCAGGGCAGTACACCTTCCTAACAATTAAGTCTCTATTTTTACCTAATATTATTTTGTGAATAGTTACAATTGACATTTAATTATTTAAGAACATACTTATATATGAACATATGATGAATGGAGGTTTTCAGTCAAAATCATGATGTTTTTAAATAAGTTTTGTCATACGTCATTATAGTAAGTTATCATAGTTACTAAGACTAACTTAATACTATTATAGGAGGGTATCTTCTTAGAGAATATATTAAACTCTAATTTTTTTTAAGTACCATACTCCTAAGTATTTTATGTTCTACAATATTGTCAAAAGAAAATAAATTATGTATTTTTCTTATTGTACTTTGTAATTATATACATTGTCAGTATTATTTTGTACTATTACAATTGTCAACATAATATGATTATTATAATTAAATAAATATAAACTGTAATCTTGATAATTATTTTTTTTCAAACTTCTGTACTTACTATTTATACTATATTGTGAAAATTGGGTAAACCATCTAAAAATTTAAAAATTCAGCTTAGATTTTTTAATAATAAGAAAAATGCAAAATTACCTCAATTTTAAAGAGAGTCTTAACATAACCTTCTTTAATGTTGAACATTGCTGAAGACGACACCACACATCAAGTGAAACGTATATACGGCGGCTGACAGAATGCGCTGTCAAGTGTTTTACACAGATTTATACAAATTAATACTAGATAGACGACTCCTTATTCCTACAATGTAAAAACTATGAAGCAGACAAAATGACCGAAATTCTTTTATCTAAGAGGTGAATATTTACAAAATATATGTTATAATAAAATGATAAACATTGATAATATTATAGCGGAAACCAAAATTATAAAATATGTATAAATTATAATAATATATCATAGACATTTAGATTAAAATTAAAAGTATAATTATAATCATACATTATATTATTCTTTTAGTTACTTTAATAATAATAATAATAATAATAATAAAATTTATCGCACTAAACTAGAAATACAATATATAGAAACACATTTAATAAACAAGTTTCCATCTTGTCCAATGCATGTGCTTAAATACAGATGCTCTAAGTTCGTATTAAAAATGAACTAAAAATACAAATAAAAGTCTATTTAGCATCATATTATAACATAATTAAGTAAAAAAAGAAGAAAAAATAATTATTAAATATTAAATAAGAAGAAATATTATTTATGTATTTCTGACACTTGGTGAAATGATTAAAATTGGTTGAATTAATATTATATTTATAAAATAAAAAGACTCCCCTAGTTATTGGATTTTGAGTTTTAAAATAAGTGCGATTAATTGGTAAAATTAAATCAAAATTATTTTGCATTCTTGTATTTATAACAATGTGCAGACTTTAATTGAAACACTGAAATCTTGTATTAACTTTTAACATTTAGCATTATAAAATATGCAGCTTATAAGATTGACCAAAGTTCAAACTTTAAATTCATGAGAATTAAATTAGTAAAATACAATATATTTTTATTCAGAATGATTTTGATTATACATTTATCGTTTAGAGTAAGACATTGTTGTGTGTAGAGTATATACAGCTCCACACTAAAAAGGAAATGCTATAAGAAAAAAGATCTTAATAAAGAACTCTAATTATAATATCTAAAATATTAAGGATATATTATATATACATAGATTGATATACTATACATATTATTTTTATCACACCAATCTTTTACAGATGATACATAATAATTAGCTGTATTTAAAAGGAATTTCAGTATTTGCATTATAATGTTGTGGCATATGTAGCTTATTTATTTTCTATAGAATTATGTAAAATGGTGTATTTTTACCGTGTTTATCAGTGCAATAGTAAGAGAGTCGCAAATAGTGGTATTCATTTATTTTCGTAAGAAAAATGCTTGTTTAAATGAAATGATTAGGTACATTTTATTTTATTTTTCAGTTTTCCTTTAATAAATAAAGAAATAACACATGTTTATAAATGTAATATACACATAATAAATTGGTACTTGGTACAGTAGGTAAGTACTATGTAAGTAAGTTAACAATATGTATTTAAGAGTTAAGTAAGTTTAGGTATAATAAAAATCATAAACTAATATTTAATATAATAAATTGATATCATTATCAGTGTATTGTCGATGCGACAAGGCGTAGGTCACTGTCTAGTGCTAAGACTCCCAGTTAGATGTTTAAATATAGGAAGATACAACAAGTAAGGTTGAATGGTAACGCAGGATGGCTTTTATTAAAACGACACAACATAAAAAAAAATCATAAATACAAAGATGTTTTGCGGAGACGCGACTCAGTCGGTGCATCTTTGACACGATGTATAATACCGTGACAAATAAAACTACATACAGAGGATTCAGCTTAATGTGGCCACCGGTTAATATGGGCATCCGCTTATTGTGGACAAACATGTCTGGTCCCAATACAAATGTATATTAACGATGTTAAATAAAACCGCGTAATATGGACACTCGATTCGGTTTGTGTGGGCAGTTTTATTTTATCATATCGTTAGAATATACATATCTGTATTTAAAAAGGACTAGTTTAATCGGGTATCGTCGTATCTATGAGATTTTTTTTACAAATAAGTGTGACATAATAATATAAAAAATTATTATTAAAGTTTCAATTTTAAAGTTGTGTCGTTCAGAAGGTTAAATGAGTTTGTTCAATCCTGTCACCTGGAGGAACACGAATATGTTAGGTGATGGCAGGACTGGTCCAAGTATGTCATATAAGTCACCGGATAAATGTTGCGTTTCCTTGCATCGAGGTATTCAAAACATTTGAAGGATGTGAGGATGTGTTTTATTGTGAGTTCGATCCCGCACGTCATACATGAGGGGGGCTCACTCGGGACATTTGGTAACCATGAGTTATTCTGGTGTGACATATTCTTAGTCTGTTGATGATGAATATCTATGAGATTGTGTTATAACCTTCTACATTCAAAGATTCATTTTATTTAGTATATTATATGTATTTAGTTTTATTTGTATACCTAGTAATTATTTAACATTTTTTCAATTACATATATGATAATACAAATAAAAACTTTTTTTACTATAATTTTTTTTCAAAACTAATTTCGGTTTTTATGGGCAACCGCTTAATGTGGGCAAACAGGGCTGGTCCCAACGTGTCCACATTAAGCGGAATCCACTGTACTGACATAACACTAGATAAAAATGAAATGCGGATGCGGTCAGGGCAAAAGAAAATAAAGTTCGTTTTGACATTGTTCACAACATTGGGTCCACTTGGCTATCTAGAGGTTAGGTTAGGTTCCGGGGAACACAGGTTAAGAAACACTGGTCTATAATCAGTAGCAACTCAAAATGTTAACTAAAAAGCGCTCGTAAATCAAACAGACGCTGTAGTACAGCGCTACACTCAGTAATTTCAAATCAACAGCTCTTTTGCAATGTTTGAACTACACTGAAATCCAAATATTTGACCACCGGTCGCGCTACAGTCGAGTCTCTAATTTTGTGAAACGCACTATAGTCGCGATTTCGCGAAGGCGAGTCCGGAATGGCAAAACGACGTTCTTCGAACATTCAATATGGCAATATGACGCCGGCGATTTGTTGCGATGAAAACAAAATCTGACGAACCTGTCGACCGACGATTTTTTCTGTCTTCAGTGTGAACATAATATACATGAGCGGCTTGTGATTAACTCGAAGCGTAGTGTACCTTCCTACCTTCCTTCAACGAGATGGATGAAATTTACGCAAGTAGCTCGCGATCGTACGTGCTGTACTTCTGTTCTTTGAATGAAAGGTTTTTCGGGTCGTTTGTTCGGAATGAACCTATGGTAAAAGTTCAACGACCCGAGAAGGAGTTGTAGCAGTTTTTTCGTTGCTGGTAGCGGCCACTCACGTATTGCGTTTACGCGTTCGCCGTGTGCGTCGACATCGTGACCAAGAAACAACATTTTGTTTGCTGCGAAAACGTATAAACTTACAACCTTTGATAGTATATTATTACTGATCAGTCAGTGATTAGTCATTTATTTTACTATTAAACAGTATCACTATCTACTATTACAGTAGATTAAAGTTAAGAAAACGAGTCAAAATGTTATCAAGTATATGAATTGATAAAATAAACATCATATGGTGTAAATTTTAACTATCTACAGTTATTTGTTTTTGAATTACAACAAAATAAGAAAATCGCTAAATGAGAAATCAAGTGAATATCCAATGTTCTAAAAACTTTGACTTCTGACGCTCATAAAATTTACTCAATGACGAGTGTACCTC